TGGCGACTAGTTTTAATAAGTCTTTAGTTTACTGTCTTTATGAATCAAATAAATTTATTTCACAAGACTGTAGATATTTTGCAGAGCCGGAGGCTCCAGCATGGTCATCTGCTCCTTACTTATTCCGCTGATCTTATAGCCCATATCTTTATAATATAGGTTTCTCTTCTTGTGTTCTTGTTTCGCGTCGTGCCTGCCGTAGCTTTTGCAGTTTAAATGAATTTGTTTCGTTCAGTGCTCTTTGGAAATGTCGGTTTTTCCTGTCCCTTAAGTTGGTGTTGTCGTGTCCAATTTCTGCGGTCTTAAGTGGGCCGCTACGGAGGAAGGTTGTGCCAGGATTACGCTGGTAGGTTTGCACACCTGTGGCTATATCTATGTAATGCGCTGCTAGTTTCTTTAGATAATATATGGAAGTTATATATTGAAGACGAAAGTTATTGAATTTCAGGCGACTTAAATTTTGCTCTCAGCAACGGGCCACGTTAAAGTTGAACTGAGTCATCTGCTGTTCTGCAGTGAGTTACAAATAGGTCTGCTAGGTTTTCTGCATGGAAAAAGGAAAGAGAAGCGGGTGATATAGGAGGATTGAGGAAAAGTGAGTAGAACCTAGCAGGTGTCAGTTGCCAGTGATTTTTTTAACACCACCACACTTGGCGCCATTGCTCTCATGCAATCTGCAGTGGGCTAAGAAGACTTCGTATCTCTTATGGGTAGTTCTGTAATAGTAGGAAGAGTTCTCAGGTATAAGTGTAGTAAATAAAACTTTTATTTTTTAAACGACACTTTTGTTACGCACCGCAGAAGAATGATCAAATAAATATATGACAAAAGAACTGAGAATGACATAACTATGCACAAATATATGACTTCTGAAACCACTTATTATTTAGTGACCGTGGATTACACAAACAGTCAGGGGGTGAATTCCAGGGGTTTTGCGTGGGCTGTTTTTAAAGCTGTTTTTTAAAGTTACGCATGCAACACTAGCCTCACGAGCAAGAAACTACAAGCCGCTTAGACCACTGATTATCCCCTGTATCACCCAGCAACCCCTCCCTTCCGAATTTGTCTGGGTGTTTTTCTACATCAGACAGTAGCACTTTTAGCAGAGGAGGGAAGGTTGCTGTCATAAAGTCTGATAATTAGATAAATGCATGTCCGGAATGTATTGCATTGGTGGATGAGCGCTGTAAAGATTAAGGCTTGGGACAAATTGTCCTGGATATGGCAGAGGTTCTTGTGGCATCATACTGATCGATTGACTCAACATTGCTTGTGGTTTCATCTCGCAATCATCACTGGACATCTCCGAATCATCTCGTCGATCACCGCTTCCAACACTGAAAATATCAATCTAGCAATACAGTTTAGTAATCGATTGTTTTTCAAACAAAAAGCTTATAACACCCTGGAAAATTCTACTTCAAAAATTGTTCTAGAAACAGCATGTTTAAAGCTACATTCTTTGTGATACGATGTTACAAGAAGCCTTGAGCTTATCTAAATACACACTGAGCTAACAGAACTAGGCTGATCAGTAAACAGGCCACCTGGTGACGTTAATGTCAATTTAAGCGAGTAGGTTTGATGCATCTTCAACTTTTTACTAAGATACCATTAATTGTTTGTTGTGCAAAAAATTCCATGTATTTGCTCATCACTTTTTTGTTTAGACAACAGTGTCACTCATCGTTCGAACTAAATTTGACAAAAAGACATAACATAATGCTAAGAAAATTCTTTCAGCAAAGCAGCGCTCAAAATTAGTAGTTCTCTTTACGCTCTCCATATTCAGTTGATTATACCTAAATAGTTAGTGTACTTTTTCTTGATAAATTTTACCAGAATAACTTTCCCCTCCAACGATTTCTTTCCGTTCTTAATAATATTCACTTACAACATTCTAGCTAACACTGAAGTGACAAGTAACGGATAATCAATGTTTTCCGTGGCTATAATTTTGAACTTTGTTTTGTGTCAAAGAAGAAGTGGTCACATCAGTGACAAATTGAAGATGCATCAATTCACAATTTTCATTTAAACATTGATTTCTGGCTGTCTTGGAATGCTCACAAAACAGGTTTCAGTCATCTTTTACCTGTAATAATTTTCTCATCCCTACAAATACATAAACCGTCCACACTTCAATAAAAAAAAGTTTTAGAATTAAAAAGATTAAAGTAAAAAAAACTATTTCAACTCAACGGAAGAACAGTTACACAGCAGAAGACAAAAAAAAAAATTAGCTTATACAGATCAGGATACTCAAATATTTAACCAGTTTATCCGAGATTCATAAGGCTACACTAAACTCCAAAATTTCTTGTGAGAACCTTATTGGTATAGAACTCTGGGTATTTTACTGGCTATAGCCTTCTACATCAAGAAGAAAACTAAACATGTTAGCACTGTAAATTAGGCTTTCTCAACTAAAACCTCCATCTTTGATCAACTAGTCATTGATCTATCAGTTACCCTCAGTTCAATCAACATTAATGGCCCCCTTTCTCCTCCCAGAAAAAACCGGCCCCGTGAGAACTGTGACAAAAAAAAAACCATGTCATCATTGATTGAGGAACTGTATTTGAACACATTACAACGCTAAAAAATATAGTCACAGAAAAACAGCAATTATCTGTTACCTGTGACTTCCGTGTTAGCCATTTGATACTACAACATAAGAATAAAGAGAAAAAAATTAACGTCTGTTAAACAAATTCTTTTTAATCTTATCAATAGCTCATTAACGAAGTCAGCAAGAAAAAAAAAAAGAAAACAAAAATGGCCGACAAATAATGATCCGTTTTTCCCCATAACGATCTGTTGTTTATTCGACGATCAACTTAAACTACGGATTATTGCTCAAGTAGCCACAACAGCAGCAGTAGCTACCTTTCTTTTTTTATTTCCATATGATTATTGCTGCAGTTATATAGCGCAAAAAAATTTTTAACTTTTAGGCCAAGCAGGAAGTATTATGTAAAAAAAAAAACTAACAACAAAGATCAGTTCAATTGGCGGGAATGATGGATAATATTTATGCAAACAAAACAGAAGAAAATAAGCAAAAAGAATAAGGATTGGGAGCACCTATTTGCTATTTTTGCTAGAAGTGTTCTAAAGGTCAAAGGTAAATATGTAAATAAACTACGCAATTTCCATTTACCGTAGCCATCATCGATAAAACAAGTTTTCAGAAATTTATTGTGTTAGCTAAACAAAAAACAAAACATAGCTCGAAAAGAAATCAAAACTAAAACCTAAACCTTTCTTTTTCCCAAAAAAAAAATTTTTTTTTTTGAGCTGTTGTTGAAGGAAAAAAAGTTGAAGAAAAAGAGGGTTAAATGAAATTCAATTGGAAACCGAAAATTGATGAGAAAAAGCAGAGAAGACAAGACAACAATACACCGTAATTTGAGATTATTTGACACTTTTCTAACAGCTCTTTTGATGAGATGTTGTTTTTATCCTTCTCCTTCTTATTCTTCTTATTCTTTGCCTACTTTCTTCTTGTTTTCCACTTTTCTGATGCTGCATCTGCTACTGCTACTACTGCTGTTGCTCAAATGCAACAAGCTTCTGAATTTTTGCTTCCACATATACATTTATCTTACTAATATATGATACTTCAATTGATATTTCAGTGTTTATTTTTATTTTGCTGCCTGTCTTCTACAAAAAACATTTAAGTTTTTGCCTAAAATTAGAGTTAAGACTAAAACAGAAGCTTAAAAAAGATGATAAATGAGGTGAAAACTGTTGACTAATTAAAAACAGAAGAAAATGCTACTCAACAAAAACAAATCCTAAAACAGAATGAAAACTGATACTGCAGTCTATAAAGATTTTAATGGCTGTTAAAGCCCAGAAAACCATAAAGGAAAAGAAGAGCTGTCTGAAAGCTTAAATAAAAGACAACTGTTATATCTTATTGAACATTTTAATGCATAATTACGTAGCAAAGAAGGTATGCTCAGTATATTAAAGTGGTCACTGATGTAACCCAGGAGATTCTTTAACAAGGCTGCTGCTGCTGCTGCTGCTGAGTCTAATACTTTTGTAAACTCTATTATCAAAATAATGGTCAAAATCAAACAAAAAAAAAAAAAGAGAATTAAGTGGCCAAGAAAGACAACTTTTCAAACAAATAAATTCATCAAAGAGAAGAGAAAAACGAGTCAGAATATGACACATTTAATATTTTTAGACACTTATCACATAGGTTGCAAATTAATGACATTACGTCAATTTACAGCAATTGTAAAGTGTCATATTTTTTTGTTGATGATTCCTGTCTTAATTTTTTTAATTTGCAATTTTTTTTCGCTTTTTTTTTTTTTTT